GATAGACTTCAAGGATAATTCAACCTGTTTGTATTGGCTGATTGGATCTGGATTTGAAGTGTGTTGCAAGCGACATGTTGTGACGACTCAGTTCAACACCCAGAAGGATGGCCACTGCAGTGTGCCCCTAACTTTTCTTTCTGCAGTTAAAGCATGGTCAACCCATAAAGACCTTCCCAAAAACAAGACTTAAGCTTTCTATAGGATCTGTAGGCAACTAGAAGAACCTGTCATTTGAGAGCCTCTTCGGGAAAGCAGAGAAGTATATGGACCTGGCCTGCCGTTGCATAAACAAGTGACATGGGTAACCACATAGCTCTGCGTTGAGATCAGTTGTGGCAAGCCACCCACATTGACGCCCAAACTAATTGGACATAAATTTTCTTGTAGCCTTCATTTCTATGTTCCACCCAGTTGAAGCAGTAGACCTGCGACGGATTACTGTACTAAAAGCCACCGGAACCCAAGAGGCTAAAGCGGAAGGTCACGGGCAGCCTTTGGAGATCACGGCCAATCGATTCCTCTTTGATTCCTTTGCGTGGAAGGTCCAGTCGACGAGCCGACAACCCTTGGATGCCCTCATGCTTCCAACCTCTTTGGGTGCCTTAACACTTTGTGATATCGAAAGAGCAGCCCACCATCCGAAACTGTTTTGTTGCTTTGACTTGTCCTTTCCATTCCTGTATAGACAATAGGCAACTCTGACTTTTTTGCTGATTCCCAAAATGGAAGTAGACTGCTGACTCTGATGATTCACTAAGACCCAGACCCGCGCCACAGCATGTGGTGCTGGCGGGGGCCTGGCTGAGGATGAGTCCAACCACCACTGGGAGCATGAAGTGCTTCACAGTTAGGACGACACCAACCACCACAGCGCCCGAACAAGAATTTCACTGCTAAAAGAAAACATATGTGTATGTGTATGTGTTTTAAAGATTTATACATATATCATATATACATCTATTAATTATATTTATATATATTTTATATTATATAACTGTATATTATACATATGCAAAATGAGGTCGGATCCTGCTACACTTAAGACTCTCTGTTTTGAAACGGCTGTATTATTTGAAGGTATCACTCTTGATGGTTAGGGTAACCCGCGGACCACCAAGCTGATTCCTTCAGCATTGACCCGAGGTCCACAATCAGTTTGCTACACTCAGCACAGCGACAGTTGCGAACTTCCAGGGTGTTAGGATGCCCGGCGAGATGAAACTCTGTTCATCAAGAGGAACCTGGCACTCAAGGAGGGCCAAACTGACTCCAATCACTCCAATCCCTTCAGGGCGTGAACAGGGTTTAATTTGGGTTGATGGATCTCAAACGCATGCCTTCGACTGGTCTTGAGACCCTGTGCCTTGACAAAATCATCTGCAAAAGTCGGCTTGGGAAGGTCCAGGGCTTCCTGCACCAAGGCAAAAAAATATGGCTATGATTGAGAACGCCAAGAGCAGTTGGGCTCCTAGAAACAATCGGCGAAGACTTGACTATAACCAAAAGTCAACCACAATGCCATGGACCACTCCCAGCACATTGAAAAAAATCCAAATTCGCGTGGGATTCCAGTTCCAAGCTGAAGATGTTCTCTTCGAGTCATCGACCACTCCAACCGACTCGAACCGACCACTGCAAACATCGTCATCGAGCTCCACTCCAAACAGTCAACCCTCACAGACCTGGGACCATTGTTTGGCGGCCAAGCTGGACAACTTCTCATGAAGGTCCCCGGAAGCCAACTCGTTCCAGCCACCTGCTGTCGACCAAAATTGGAGGGCACGACCGATGGAGGACGGGGTCGGTCCCGGCCATAGGGCCAAGATGGGCCATGGGGTAAGGTACAGGCAAGCGCGAAACTCATGCCTAACTCACGCCTGCATCCTGAAATCTATGTGTTCCAGCATGTAAACGCAGTTTTAGGAAAGTCATGCCTATCTCATGCCTTTCATGCTTCCCCCAAGCTAAACGCAACAGTTTTTGGAGCCGTGCGATCTCTGAATTCTATTTTTTGGCAACTTTTGCAAACCGCTTTCCACGGTTTGCACGCCATGCCGATAGCCAAGCGCTTCGGCCGGAGGTGGATTTCAAAATCCCTTTGTTCAGAACCTGTTTCTGAAACACGGACCACAATGGCTCTTTTCGGCACAGTGGTTTGAGGTGGCTGCACACGAAAAACTCAGCCACCGGTTTGATTTCATCCCTTCGGGATTTGCTGAAAGAAGACAAAATGTCTTGTGTTTTGCGAAAGAATGGACAAGATGGAATGTATAATTAATTTCGATGAATATATATATATATATATATATCTGCTCTCAACTGCTGGTCAACTTGGGTCTGCAGTCTTCATGCAAAATCTCATCACCCAAAATCTCTTGCCGAACATTCAGACGCAAAATGCGCCAGCTGTCGGTTTGATTCGGTTTTCAAAACAAAGCAGCAGACATCAAACAGTAGCACTGCCCATGCAAATTCCAACATAAAGAGTCTTTGCAACTGTATCCGAAGATATTCCAAAAAATGCAGAACACAAACTAAACGCAACAATCAAAAGCGTCGAACTCAAAGAAAACAACTCCGCCCCATTAGCTGGACACAAGCTAAACGCAACAAAATACATCAAAAAAAAGCTTCAAAACCACCATTTCGGATTGCATTTACAATGCGTTGAGCAAAAAGGCACGACTTCTGAATTAGCCCAGCTGGAGACCCCAATAGCAAGATACAAACCGGGACAAAAAGAAAAATCTGGAAACAGCTGCTGTTTTCAACACATCGACCATCTCTTCCTTGGACACCATCATCACATAACCGGGACAC